ATACACACACACACAAATGCACAAGCATGTGCACTTCCCCACACACGAACATACTGATAAGAGGGTGTTATGGTTTTCATCGTCCTGTGTCAGGCCTGTCGAGTACAGTCTCATAATGGCTGCCGGCAGTGGTCAGCATGGGAGAGTGTAACAAAGGGCTGAAAGAGAGAGCTCCAAATAAGGACTGGCACACAGCAGAATTTAAGGCACTACTCATTCTCTCAACTAACATTTTGGACACTTGTTTGAAATAATTATACACACACAGATATATATTTTATAACTTTTACACTTCAGTTTTACATTAATAGATTTAAAAAAACATCTTAGACCCCACTTCACATCTGGACTCACATCCTGTCTGTCTCAATTTGGAAGTTTACTTCCACAAAAATTATCAGCCTCTCAGAAGTGTTGATCTCATGTTAGGATATGATTAGCCTAGCTTAGCATATAGACTGGAAGCAAGTGAGAAAGAAAATGCTGATTAAACAAATTAATTAGTGAGCTTTAGAAGTGTTGATAGATGTGTTTTTTTACTTTGGACAGAGCCCCACTAGCAGCTAGAATCTCATTCCCAGTGTAGATATTTGATGCCCTGGGAATAAGACTCAACAATTAACTATCTTTCTCGGATGGGATTGGTGGTTTTTATTCAGGTCTGGTTGATTCGTGCAAACCCTATGAGGAGAACTAGGAGGACCCAGAGGAACCAGATTTTTTTTTCACAGATTATCTGTGTCATGTCCTACTGTCAGGATATAGTGAAAGTTTAGGCAAATATGACAAAAGCTTATTTTTATTAAAGTTACCTTCTGCACCTTTAAATGTTGATGCTATTATATATCATTTAGCTTGAACAAACTTGATAGTCAGTGTCTATCTTTGAACTGCACCAAACAAAATGACTGGAAGTGATTTGTGATCCATATTTCAATGACAACACAATTTACTGTGTGTGTGGAATATACAATATACAGGTGATCAAAGAGAGCCAGAGGTGCTTTTACCTGCTGAGATCAAGAGCGTGTCATCAGTTACGTCCTCTAAAACAGTCTGGAGGAGTATAATGCTAAATGATCATAGTACCCTTCCACCTGTCTAGGAGAAGGGTAGAGGCTTTGCAATGAATAAAAGACAAGAGAAAGATAACTGTCCCACTGCCTGCATGTCAGATTGTATCTTTTCAGTCCTTAGTGGAAAGGTCCAGCTCAGCCTCGCTGTGCTAAAGTGTCGTGTTGTGAAATATGAGGAGGTGGAAGCAGCCTTTTGACAGCTCACTGAGCCAAGTCACTTACTGGAAGCCAGGGCTGGGCTGTGGTTTGGAGCTCTGCCGCAAGCCAACATCCCCTGTCTGTGTATGTTTATTATTCTGTTTAGCTATGAGAGACATAGATATTATTTACAGTGTATGCGTGATAGAGATGATGATAAAATTGCACCTCTTTGTGTACAGAGGAGGATTATATCTTTGCTACAGTACCAAACTTCATACTGCAGTTGGACACAGTCATTGTCTGGAGGATGACTACAACTGTTTTCCCAATTTTTAGAGAATCTTTCCCTCTGGTAC